TTTCTTTTAATCACTCATTTATTTCTGAATGTAGTTCCGCATTTATTTTTCTTCTGCACAACCTGCTAATGAGAGGGTGTCAACCATGGACTTGGTCGGGTCATGTGATAGCTGGGGGCCAGGCATGGGGAAAACAATCCTTTCCCTCTGACAACAATAAAAGGACACACAGGTAAATTTCACCAATTGAAGGTAAAGAGACAAGGGAGACGAGAGTATCAATACAAGAAATACACTTTATTATAAAATAACCCGCATCAAATAAAATTCTCACGAAACACACCCACAATGGTAGGAATAGCTTCCGGGGCCAGGATTAATGGGAACAAGGCAGGCCGGCCGCAACTCCGGAGGTCGTCCAAAACCCACCTCAGTTCACAGCAAATCAGATACCACACACACCCGTGCTAGGGAAGTTATATCAGAGCACCCACAGCACACCGTGCAACACCGCCGAATAACGCAGCTAGCCCCCCCTGTTCCACATAATAACGCAGCTAGCCTCCCCTGTTCCACACAAGTCCTCACTGGCCCCTAGAAAGAGAAACATTTATAACGAAATTCAAACAGAAATCATACGAAATATTATAAGTAAAGACAAACACCAAATAATAATTTTACAGACACTGTGTTGTAGCAGCTTTGACACTCGATCGGGCCTCCAGATGACACATGAACTACATTCAGAAATAAATGAGTGATCAAAGGAAAATAGTTAGGATGAGTTTAGCATTTCCTTAAACATTTTCCATTTGCCCACCAATTTATTTTATTTATTTGCCTACTTTCATCACGTTTAATTACTTATTTATGTATTTAAACAAGAATACGTGTATCTATGCACACATTTATTTATTTATTTATTTATTTATTGTTTTTGCAGGTTTCGTCCTCCATACATAGGTTCGTTGAAAGCATTACACGGTCACTTGATGGCGCTATTAGATTTTGAAGGACAGACGTATAGGGTATTTTAGTAAAATGTTTCTACCCTCTATTGTTTATTTTGCACTAAATAACGGCTTTTTTTTTTAGGATGTTCTCTTTTATATGGAGTGAACATTTACATTCATGTTCGTGAGTGACACTTATGGCTAAAGTTATTTGTCTATATTACTATAGTAGAATTACCACAGCAAATAACCATTCATAAGTTACTACAAATTACTATAGTACCTTAACTATAGTATGGTTCAAAAACACTATAATATTTACCAGAGAAATTTTACTACATTTTCCATGGTAAATTTACTATAGTATTTTTTCATGTGGGTTGTAACTACAATATGTAACGTTGTGTTAAATGCTACTGTCTATGGTTAAATGCTTATTTGTGGGTGCGATTGTATAAAAAGCAACTAAAAAATTCAACCATATCACATATTTATTTTCTTTTCTTTTCCTTTCTTTTCCTTTCCTTTCTTTTCTTTTCTTTTCTTTTCTTCACATAATTGCACGGATTTCATTTTAAACTACTTTGTAAAAGTGGGATAAATGTCATTGGTGTTTCTGTGGGCAGAAAATGAACTCCCTTAAAAGTATTTTTCACATTTTCACTAATTTATTAAAACGTATCTACTAGATAAATGTCAAAGAGTAGCCTACATAGCCTACACGCATATCACGCGGGAATTCTGTCATTTTGTCTTTTTTCTTCTGCACTTTTCCACTCCAGTGCCATTTTATTGACATTGTCTCCTTGTTGAAGTATGCACACTAAACGATGAATAAAACTGAGGGTAAAAAAAACCAACTAATATTTTAATAGTTTTAAAGTCTTGAACTGAGACAAGGACAAAACAACATAAATATATTCATGGAATGCATTTGAAAAGTATAGAAAATAAATGATGATGGTATAGTAAACGTTTCTGAGACAATTTTAATGTCTCCTACATTCAGCAAAAAAGTTGAAAGTCTGTTAATGTTAATAAAAAACAAACAAACAAATATATCAACATAAACTGTTGGGACATAAAAGTGCATCCCAAAATGGAAAGATTATTATCAAAAATTATCAAAATTATTTACAACTCTTACTATTTTCCCCCTCTATTTTCCTCATTCCCACGAAAACATGGCTTGTCCACCCCAAAACTGGCAAGTTAAGATAAATTAGTAAACGTTTCTGAGACAATTTTAATGTCTCCTACATTCAGCAAAAAAGTTGAAAGTCTGTTAATGTTAATAAAAAACAAACAAACAAATATATCAACATAAACTGTTGGGACATAAAAGTGCATCCCAAAATGGAAAGATTATTATCAAAAATTATCAAAATTATTTACAACTCTTACTATTTTCCCCCTCTATTTTCCTACGGTTGAACCCACGCATTCAGAGCAGCACAAGGCTTAATTATTGAGGGTGACCCCCGATTGCTCAAACCAAATAGAGTTTTAGCAAGAAGCTCTTAGCTATTCAATTATAATTGGTGTATTCGGTCATAACAAGCATATGCGTTTTAGCACAATGGGTGGACTCTAAAAGGAGCCTCAACAGCACATTAAAACTGCATTACTTCTTCCAAGAAGTGTACTCAAGATCTTTCTGGTCTCGATGCGCACACCGTTCCAAAAGCGCACACGTCTCCAAAGGTGCACGTTTTACCACACAAAAGAGATGACATTGTTTGAGTTTTAACAAGAGGTGTACATATGGCATCCGGGTTGTAATTAAATGTTTTTAAGTTGTTGTTTTTGTCTGTGCAGCGAAGTTTCCTTTTCTTCTTTATGTGCAGCCTTTTCCGAGTCTGAACAAGAGAGAAGAATGAAATAGCTTTTCTGCCAGTTTGGAACAAATGGATGGCAAAAAGCTGGTCAGCGAGTTTTAGTCCTTGATTGCCTTCTTCAGATGCCCTTCAAACAAAGGCTGGGGATGAAAATAAAGCCCCACCTGGTACTTCTGTTTGCTAAAATAATAAGAAATAGATTTCGTTTCATAAATAATTGCAACAGATTGTAAAGTGCAGCAGTTGAAGAAGTATCAATCAAGACAGCGAGGCCAGGTATCACCTGCTCTTCAGTAAGACGAATTTATTGTTAAATCAGATTCTTTGGATTATCTATGATTTCCACAGCAACAGGTCGCCTATGTTTGCCCATACTTTGCATAACAAGCAAGATATTACTAGGCACTGATAAAAATCGGGGGACAGATCTGACAATCCCAAACACACACCTGTCTGGCGATATCCTAATATGAATCTGGCATCAAAAGTTATTTGTAAAGCGGTAATATTTGGTTTACTTTGGATAATTTCGAGGCCTTTATAACAGCACGACATCATTCCCTATCTCCTTGCTTTATTTGTCCATTTTATTGAAAGCATATGGTTATCAGATGTCCTACAAAATACATATTTAGTTAGACTGGCGATGAGTGCCTTTGTGGACACTTGGGCACCACGGTAAATATTTTGCGCCCATAACAGTGCTCATGGTCTCTCCAATAAATGAAGATTTATCAAGGCTTGGGGGCTTGGGGCCAAGTGTAAACTCGTGCTATCCGACCATGTTGAAAGTCTTTTGTTTGCAACTGCGACCAAATTTATGACGCGCACTTGATGTTCTTAATAACGGACTCCGTTTGGAGACACCAGTGCGCACGCATTTTATTTTCTATGCAAATGTTTTTGTGCATAATATTCTGTGTTTTCATTGTACTATGGAAGTGCTGCTGCTCACAAGTACAAGTTATTCCACATTTTCTTCAATTAAATATTATTTTCCCAGGGTTCTGTGCACTACAGCACAATTTACGCACAGGAATATCGCCACAAAGCGCCAAACGGCAATGACACTAAAATAATACTGTTTATCAGTAATTCGTTTCCGTTTCGAATAATGAAAATTTATTGTTGAAACTGGTATGGTAAGTGCTAATAAAATGTCCATTAACCATGTATGTTCATAATACCTACATGATGTGTTAACGCCAATCACATAAGACTATTCCTGCTCCAGATCTGTGAAATTTTCTATCTTCCAGAAATTGATGTTTGATAAAACCTCATGCATATACAGTACCATTATTATAATTCAATAATGAACAATTAATTAATTTCAAAATAAAGGCTTATAAGCCACTATATTTGCAATAAGCTGGTGATGAAATTGTTTTAGATAAATGCAAGAGTGCTATGATAAACAACAACAATAACAACAACAGACAACTATAGAAAACTTCACCTGACATGTTCTACCCTGTTTTTAAACCCTCTCTTAGTTTATTTCTTAACCATGAAGGTAAATTTAGGAAAGGGCCGTCTCTGATTGGCCACTTGACTCCATTTGTTTGTCCTAGAGCGCAGATAGGATAAAGGGGCATAAATGACGAATGGGCGCATCACCCTCTTTGTCCCTTTGATATATATATTAAGGGAATGAAAAGAGACTGCATGTTGCTCACTGGTGGACAGGACGCGCAGTGCTGTAGACCACCACCTTCACGGAACCTCGGTTTCACTGAGCCAGTCTGCAAGCCAAGAGGTAAGCATCTGGATTATGATAGGTTTCTTATAGGTTGTTATCCAAGACCTTGGACTGAAGTTGTCCTGTTGTGTTTTTCATGTACAGAATGACTCCAGGGTCCACGTGCGCGTCGGTAGGAAGGAATGGGACATTTAAATCTAACTGGAGTTCAGCATTAGATCTCAAGTCTGGATCCACAGACATTACCAAAAGCCAGCAAATCAAATGCAACAAAGAATTTGAGCTTGACAGCATAGACTCGGCGACGAAGGAATGCTCATCTACCGTCAACGAAGAGAACACAAGAAGTAAAAGAATGAAGAAAAAGATGCCAGTTAAATCAGCTAGCAGACAACGTGGGAATCGCAGAGTGAAGGCAAATGACAGAGAAAGGCACCGCATGCATAAACTGAACTCCGCCCTGGATATTCTGAGAAGCGTGCTTCCAACTTTTCCCGATGACGCGAAACTGACTAAAATTGAGACTTTGAGATTCGCGCACAATTACATTTGGGCATTGTCGGAAACATTGAGAACTGCAGACCATGTTCGACAAACTTCAAATCACGATCGGGATCAGGAGAACCTCACTGTGCCAAATGCTTGCTTGGATACGCGTTACAGCGCATCTAGCGCACGCGCGTCCAAATGGCACTCCACAAACTCATCATCAAATTGGCAAGAAACTCAAGGCTACTACGCTGACTTGTTACTAGAGGGATTTAACTGCAATTTTCAGGACAATCTAAAATTGAATCTGATCTGCAAGTAGCAAAGCAAATCTTGCAAAAGTTGTCCCTTGCTGTAAAGTCCACGAGAATGACATGTAGGGCAGGTCATGAGTGTAGAAATGTTATTTTCCGTTTATGCCTTAAGAAAAACGTCATGATTTAATCACTTTAATTATTCAAATGATTTATTGTATGTTTCCAGTCATTTTTATACGCAAGGGAAGTTTAAACGCAAAATAGCTCTTTTCTTTAAATTGCCAGCTCTTAAAGGGTTAGTTCACCCAAAAATGAAAATGTTGTCATGAATTACTCACCCTCGTGTTGTTCGAAACCCGTAAGACCTTGCGTCATGATACTGTCATGAACCCGCGTCCACAAGTGACGCAGTAGAGACGAAAATGTGGAATAAAGTCGTTATTTGCTGTCTATGGGAGGGTCAGAGAGCCCTCATATTTCATCAAAAATATCTTAAACTGTGTTCCGAAGATGAAAGAAGGTCTTAGGGGTTTCGAACAACAGGAGGGTGAGTAATTAATGACAGAATTTTCATTTTTGGGTGAACTAACCCTTTAACACTAAAATATAGTGTAATAGTCATTTTGTTTTTTGTAAATATCTGTTATTTCCTTCTTATTCATTTAAGCAAACAAATAAAAAAAAAAACTTTTTTGGGTAAAAATCATAAATTCATATTGAATCTGCTTTAGTGTTTCGTCAAAGAAGCTTTAACTGTTGTCATGCAGTCGCTGTGATTTTACCAAGTAAGACAAGTTCCTGGATCAACATCTTTTGTTGATCCTGGATCAACATTACTGTCCAAAAATATACACTAAACCAAATCCCTACCCCTAAACCTAATCCTACCCATAATTTATTCCTAAAATCAGTGTGAAATGATAGCTGATTAACAAGGGTGTAGAAGCACCTAACCCTGATCGTAAGCCTAAAACAGACATTTCCTCAAAAGTTATCCCTCAGATCTAGATTTTACCTATTATCATTTAGCTAGGTGTTAATATATTTCTCTATATTCTTGCAATAATTGAGTAATTAGGTTCACTTTTACAAGACAGCTTCGAGTTTTCTTACAGCTGCACAAAAAAAGCTATATTGTACTCTGACTGAAATGTGAGTGGGTTGATGCTTACAATACATCTGGAGTATTTAATCATTTATTCAGCTGTATTTATAATGCTTTTGAAAAGCATCATTTTCAAAGAAAAAACCATAGAGAAATTTCACAATGGATATGCAACATTTTATTTCTAGCAAGGCTGAACGTTATTTTCATACAAAAATATGGAGAATCCAAAAGACAATGTACATACATAGAATAGATTTTTACATACTGGTGTGCATGGGGAATACAACCATGATTACATAATTTCAATGATCAGTTGATGAAAAACATTTCTTGAAAATCTGCAAATGCAATAAGTGGTCTTAAGATACCCTAGCACCAATAATACGAGCCTTTTATACAATGAGATAAATGTGTGGAATGACAAGGACATTGGAATGTATGATAACAATAGCACTTAATCTGGATAGACTATATTCACATATTCAGGTGATGTCTAATCACAATTTCCTGATTACTGTTGCCAAAGTCCATTTATATCCATGCACATCTGTCTGAGTATGTAAGAGCTGTTACAAACATTCATATTGGCAACAAAGCAGCCTCACTGAAAGACTATCCAAATAAAGTGTTACAGATTTCCAAAGGAATTCCCCACATAAGGGAAGGTGCAGTTTTAAAGTAGAACGTGGGAAACATTCTACTTTGGAAAAACAGTGACAACATCATAACCCTCTGGAGGAGTGACGTGTTCACGTGCGTGTTTCTCGCAGTAAATTTTGTCCTCGACAAAAAAGTGTCCTTTTTGCTTAAGATTGATCCCGCAGTCTGTGCAGACGAAGCATTCTGGGTGGCGAAACTTATCTCGAACTTTGACCATCAATCCTCTTTATAACCAAATAAAGAGAAAAAGGTTGTTTAGGAAAACATGTTTGCAAAAAATCCAACAATTATAACGAAATAATTAACAGAGCAAACTCCACAGGTATTATAAAGAAATTGAGTTCCAAAATGTTCCACTAGATGGCAACACTAGCATAACACCACAACGGCACGATACAACAAAGTACATGCAACTGTTCTAAGATGGATTTCATTAAAACTTCTCCTATAAAGATAAAGCAAAAAATTGAAACTTACACAATCCCTGAACCACATTTGTCACAAAGAGAGAGATTTTCAGGATTCCCAACGGAGGCTCCAACTTTTGTGGTGGGGGCTTTGACACTTCTGAAGCCTGAGGGTTTATCTGTATCACCTGACGCAAAGAAACAGAGATCCATCATGTAATGCTAAGGCTTTCTTTTATAAGCCCAAAAATCTGAAACAGAATGTGTTTCACAGCTGTAGTCACAGGCAAGGCTTTAGAAACTGATGATTATGAATGACCAGAATCACAGACGCCCATTTTGTCAACAGAAGCTAAGGCCTGCTGGGTGACCTGTGTGCAATTCAGACACAATGTAGTATGGTATACAAGGTTTGTATGAGATTATACCAGTTTCCAGGATCTCCTGCAGAACTTTAAAAGAGGCAGACTGGCGAGGAGGCTCATTGGATTCTTGATTCTCCTGCAGCATTTTGTACACTTCAGAGTCTGCAGCTAACGCAGGCATTGGCTGGCCAGGTCTACAGGGATCTGGGCTATAAAACATGCAAAAGGTCACAATGATGACAGTCACAAGACAAACAATATTATCTCAAAAGTATTATATTATTCAACTCAAACCTAAATGGCTAGTTTCAGCCCCGACAGACATACATTCAAATAACTATACTAATACAGCACAGAACTGGAATGAGTGTAGCACATAATGATATATGTATTCATGAGAAGTAGGAAAAAAACATCTTTTAAAAATCTGGTTGAAAACACTTGTCAATTCATAGAAACTTTGTATTCATGCCGGTACATGTCATGTTGGGTTTGAAAAACCATACATTTACTATACAACTAAACACAAGAAAAGTTTAAATTTAAATGTCATGTGGAGTAACCATCAAGATATATATAATGCATGCATTTATAAAAGATTTCTATTTCAAATAAAGGCTGTTGTTTTGAACTTTGTACTACTCATCAAAGAACCTTGAAAACAATGTATCACGATTTCCAGAAAAACATTAAGCAGTACGGGGACAAGACAAGGTTTTCCACTGTCCCCATTTCTTTTCGCGATTGTGGTTGACCCACTAGCAATATATATTTGACAACAGACAGACAATCAACCAGTTGTTGTAGGGTGCCTTTCACAACATATTTCATTATATGCTGACGATATTCTGTTGTTCGTCAAAAATCCTAGCGAGTCTATTCCGCCTTTACTCTTCTCCATTACTAGATTCGGGAAATTATCAGGTTTCACTGTAAATTAAGAAAAAGTGAATTGATGCCTGTTACTTACAATATCAGTAAGGAGTTCCTAAGATCCACCCAGTTTAAATTAGTAGAAAACTCTTTCACATACCTAGAGGCTATAATAACCAAAAACCCAAAATATCTACTTAAGGCCAACTGTCAAAAGATAATTGACCAGTTAAAAAAATAGCATAGATTACTGGAGTACATTACCAGTATCAATGATTGGTAAGGTCAATGTGATTAAGATGGTGAGTCTGCCAAGATTCCTTCATTTATTTATGTCAATCCCTTCATGTATACCACAATCCTACTTTAAACAATTAGATAAGATTATTCATCAGTTTATATGGAACTATAAAACAGCGAGAATCAATAAAAAGCATCTGTTAAAGCCAAAAGAAAAAGGCGGACTTGGGTTACCTTTTTTTTTTTAAAGCATACTACTGGGCTAAGCATCTGAACATATTTTCCTGGTGGAAAGCTGACTTAAAAGATGATTATGAGATACCTGATTGGCTTAAAATTGAACAGGCCATTTGTTCCAATTCATCATTGCAGGCACTGTGCAACAGTCCAGGGAAGATTAATAAGCTTATTTATAACAACCATTTTGTGATAGGCCAATCCCTAAAAAATTTGTAAGCAAGTTAGAACATATATTAAAGCTCCTAATGTGTATGTGGATAGCCCCATATGTGAAAACCATGCCTTTATCCCCGCGCTCAATGACATGGCGTTTTCAATGTGGAAGCAGAAGGGAATAGGGCATATTAGCCCACTGAATGGAAATTTCTTTTCCTTTGAAGAGCTAAAATCAAAGTTTCAGCTACCCAGTTCCCATTTTTTCAGGTACTTGCAAATTAGAGACTACGTCAGAAAACTATTTCCCAATTTCATGCGATTAAGAAAACATGACATATTAGAGGAAATAAATTGATTTAACGCTGGTAATTGTAAAGCAAATGAATGAATTTCAAGAAATCAAGAAAATGATTTCTGAAAGATCATGTGACACTGAAGGCTGGCATTATAGTTACTGAAAATTCAGCTTTGTCTTCCCAGGAATAAATTACATTTAAAAATATATTAAAATAGAATCAATTCTTTTAAATTGTAATAATATTTTACTTTTATTGTATTTTTGCAGCTTTGGTGAACATAAGAGACTTCTTTAAAAAAAAAAAAAAAGTAAAATTTTGACCGACCCCAAGTTTTTGAATAATAGTGTATTTTGTCAAGGTAAAAAGCATTTTTTAAATAAAAAATATATGATTATACTATTAGTTAGGGCTGCACGATTATGACAAAAATCATAATTGTCGATTATTCCCTTGAAATTGTAATTGCGATCATTAATTACGATTATCACAATTTTCATTGAATGATGTTTATACCATTGTTTTATGCAACTGCATGCCGTATTTTTATATGCAAATAAACAAGCTGAAAACACTCTAACTGAAAAACTTTTAGTGCTTTTCTATAGTATTAAGCCTCAAATGTCAAATATACATCGGATTGGTTTCTTCTTTAATTATAAAAAAAGTAAAAATATGAATGGTATTATAATGTTATACTAAAACTAAAATTAAAATAATGGGGAAAACCCTTAAGATAACATGCAGAAAGAAAAAAACACATCTTAAGCACGCAGAATAACATAAGTGGACTTTGAACGATCAATTGCCGCTTTGAACGATTACGTAATTGTGGCATTCATAATTGTAATCGCGATTTGAAATTCGATTAATTGTGCAGCCCTACTATTAGTTAATAAAAACATTAGGTTTTTGGGAGTTACCTTGCCTTGCCTTGACTTTTCATGTCACATCATCATTATCAGTCATAAAGGTCGGCAGGTTATCGAGAGAGGACTCTCTATAATATCATTTCCTGTTTTATGTTTTTTTTTTCTGCATGTTCATTGTACCACATAACTTTGTGACAAGTATGTCAATGAGGTGTGTATCATGCTTACTTCCTACTGGCTTCACTGGAGGCAGCAGAAGTCTGGACGCCGTCCACTGCACTGTTGAAACTCTTAATGTTTTCAGAGGAATACAGGCCAGCAGGGTTATTGTACATGTTGGTGACCACCCTCGGACTACCAGAACTGAAAGGAATGGCACTCCTGTTATGAGCAGCGCCTATATGTTTCATCTCCTACAGAAAAAAAGAGCAGGTACTATGAGTATAAATCTCAAAAACATGTCAAACAGAACTGTAACTTTAAAAGGTTATTTCACCCAAAATGTCTTTGATCATTTACTCACCCTCATGTCATTCCAAACCTGTATGACTTATTTTCTTCTTTTTTTTTGTCCATATAATAAAAATCAGTGGACTCTAATGTTGTTTTGCACTCCACTGACTTACATTGTATTTTTTCAAAATATCTTCTTTTGTTTTTCACCAAAGAAATACAGTCATAAAGATTTGGAATGACATGAGGGAGAGTAAATGATGACAGAATTTAATTTTTGGGTGATTTATCCCTTTAAGACACAAAAGCAAAGCCAAAAGACATAAAATAATTTCATAAGAATGGCAGTAATATATAACTATTCAGACCAGAAGAAAAGGTCTGAGAATCAATCATTACTTTTTTATATAACTGTAGATATTATAACCAAGTTGATGTGAACAAAGACCATTTTACAACAGGAGAAAAAAAAAACACACAGAAATTTTTTCCACACTAATGACTAAGGTTTTAATGACTTTCGTCTGTCAACAACATATTTAACACTTGTTTCTTATTATGTTTCTCCCTCTGCTTAAATTGGGAAACATTTGTAACACCCAAACTATGTAGTCAAACTCCACACACTTCCTATGATCACTCACATTCTGACCCTAAATTTCCAACATACCCTGCAGGATGTGGATCTTGCGTCATGGTTTTGGCTGATAAACTCCCTGGTCTCCATGGATAAGGCTTTTTAGGACATAAACAATGACTTCACTTTGGCAGCCTAATGGTGCCGTGCCTTAATTTGTTTAGCGGCTATGGTTCTGTTATGTATGACAGTCTCATGCACTACGAAGGGCTTTAAAGCTCATTGAAAATGATCAAGGGTCCATTTAAAAATGACTCAGCTCCCAGATAAGCACAGCTAAAACGCACCTGTGTTTCTTTATTTGCCAGATTCATCTTATATGGATTGGTCTTTCCTTCTTCAGTGACCAGTGGGGACCACATGTTTGACTCTGATCTGCAAAAAATGGTAAACTTTCAAACAGTGAATCAGTAAATGATTAAGGTAAAAATATAAAATCATCATGGCTCAATAAAAATGGTCTGCGCCCAATGTGAGAGTTTCAGGCAAGTTGATGCAATTGTATTGATCTTGTATTGCGTAAGTTTACATGGCATAAAACATTGGGTTGTCTGTCATATATCGATTGTCGTTGTTGCAAATTCTGCTGATTTAGACTTGTCACCCAGGTGACGTTATCTAGCTGACTGACACCGATGAGGATATGTTGAAATTGTGAGAATGACTTGTGAAAGACTTTAGTAAAAAAAAAGAGAGAGAGAGAGAGAGATGAAAATTAGACCCAGCAGCATTTTACATTGTATGCCATTATCTTCCACCGTGTCACAGAATATTAAATCTAGAATGTCTGGAAGAATTTAATAAAAGACAACTTTTCTGTTTATTTTGGAAGATGTTTCATTATATCATGCTTTTCTGGGTGCTCTACATACTCATAGCTAATGATACATTCAGGTAAACCACTGCATGTTTCCCTTTGCAATGTAATGTCCCACCTGTCAATGGAAAGCACCATTTCCTCTATGCAAGCTTTGATTTTATTTTGTGCTTCCAGGTGAGTCATGCCCTCTGTTGATTCTCCATCTATGGCCAGGATCATGTCCCCCATACAAAGGTCTGCTTGAGCCGCTTTGCTTCCTGGGGTCACCTGAAAAAGTCAAAACTTCATCATCATCATCATAATCTAAAAGGCTTTAGAATTAAATTGTGTAGTTTTCATGCCCAAATATAAACTTAAAGGAAATATGGCAGAATTTTGACAATAACTTCTCTTTGGTGTAGCTTTCACTTGTTACATGATGACTTCCTCTATGTCAGGGTTTGCACGTTGTGGTTAAACATGCACTCAGCATGTTTTTATTTACATTTAGCTGGCTCTTATAAACCAACTATTGGGATGAATATCAACTAGAATGCATGATGTTTGTTTATTCGTGAATTGCTGCTTCACACAAACTGCTTGTTTATTTTCTGAACACTCTTGGATCCAATCCCGACTAAAGGGTCGTTCACATCAAGGATGATAACTATAATGATAACTGAAACAATAAAGTTTTGATATTTGTTCTAATTCTGTGAGAATAGGACGAGCGACAGATGACATAACGGCAGGGCACGCTTACAATAAACAGAATGTTATTACGCGTTGTGGACGCTAATATATTTATCATTACAGTCATCGTTTTTGGTGTGAAATGGCCTTAATTTTTACATTGAGTACTGACAAGAAGTGCTATTTGAAGCGAACTATTATTGGTCTCAACTCTCAACATGGTGGCACCCATGAAAGAGACCCACTCTAGTAAAATAAATTAGCTTAGCCTATTCTAGAAATCTGATGTTGGGAGTCTTATACTAATGCAAGTGAACAATTTTTAAAAATAGTATTTCTTTATACGTACAACTTTTAGTTAAAAATATTGAGTGCCCCTTTAAGAGATGACAGGCAGCTTGTTGCGGTTGAAGGTACACGTTTGAGTGTCATATAACATTATAACATGCATTCATGCCATGAATACTTGTAATGTTTTGAAATCAATACAGGTTAGGTGACTGAACACTAATCTGCGAAACCGTATGGAATCAAGTACAGAACAAGTTCTATTTTGCGAAAGAACCTGATTTTGCGTCAAGATGAGCTAGTTAGATAATTAGTTCCATTTGTTTCACGAAACATTTAATCCAAGCGCTCGAGACATTGCGACGCTGACGTTCAGGTCGATACGGTCGCGTTCACGTGCGTTTCTGTTGGATGCTGCTGCTGCTGCTGCTGCACGCAGGCGTGACACGTTTTTGAGAACGTTTATCCAGACTGTGGAGTATTATATGTTGGCCTAGTGATGTCTGTGAAATCCATTTTCCCTCTGTGATAAATTATTAACAAATCCGAAGTTGGTTTCTTACCCTCGAGATAGTCAGAGGCTGTTCGAAATCTTTTCCCCCGACCAGACGGAAGCCCCACGGTCCAGGACCTTGTAAAACAACCCGTAAAGCCATTATACTTCCAACACGTAGCCTAAGCGGATGGCGTATACTAAATCCTGAACTAGTGCACTGTAAACTGTGCTATGGACTCCGCAGTTTCGAGTAACTGTAGCGGGACAGGGAATTCACTTTGAAGAGACGATACCTGGGCGGAGCTTCCTCAGAAGTGAGCGAATAATGTCAAGTCTCTGTGCTGATAAGAGCTTATTTCCTATGTTTGTTTAGGGGTGGACCGTTACGTCATCTTATATTGAAGTTTACCATGTATGGAAGAGCCAAATCCTGAGATTTGGCATGTGCCACTCCCAAATCCAGTCGAATTCCTGGCAAGGGGGTCATTCGCTTAGTGCATGACTTTGCAGGACTATGGATCACATTCTCAGCATTCCCAAAAAGTGGAACAAGTGCAGACAAAACGGGCAACGCGGAAGCACAATGTCAATATTTGATTTACACTAGAGTTGTATAAACTTAATCAACAACAGTAGCACTTCCACAGAATGGATATCCTACAGTACAAGTGAAGACAGACTGCTTTATTTATGAGAAGGACTTTTCAAGTGCTCCTCGAGTCAGTTTAGGCCTACAACATGTTACACTATGTTTGTGAGGACATTTTCCAAAGTTTTTCACTTGTACTTTTTTAGATAAACTGCCTTAGTCAAGGGATGTATTACAAACAACTTCCTATCTTAATTTCATTCAATTTAAAAATGTTTCCTAAAATGTTATGGTTAGTACAGATAAGGATTCTGAGTTAGCATGTTATATAGAGCCAGGGGCTTATCAATCTGTTTAGTAACCATGCCGGATGCAGTTAGAATGTCATTTGGAACACTGAACTAAACAATCTTAACTTCTGAACATACCTCTTAACTCGGTAACACCCTTCCTGCAGAGTTGAACCCTGCTTAATAAAACCTGCCTGTAATTATCAAGGGGTCCTAAAGTCTGTCAGTAACAGTTTCAAGTATGCTAAACTGAACTATGCAGAACGGAAGAAAAGAAAAGAAAAAAAAAACCACTTTTGCCTTCCCATTACTTTCCAATAGAGAGAAAAAAAAATATGGCAGTTCGAGGAGAGAGAGAGATGTCAAATAATCAGTCACGCCCCCAGAAACTATATTAGAAACTTCATCAGCAGTGTGGACCTGTTTTTTTTTTTGTAATTTAATGCTATAGGGTAACATACAAATAAAACTAATTTACTAATTGGTTTATTGCAGAAATGCATCATCACAGGCTGTGATAAAACCCATTTGTATTTTTTTGCAATGAGAAATTATGCAATAAAAAGAAAAAATAAATTAAATATATGTATATAACTATATAGAGTAAACTATTAAAATAGCAATAAAATGTAAACAAAAATGAACCTACATTAGAAACCCCAGCAAAACAGTAATTATTTTTTTGTAATTTAATGCAAATTAATTAATTGATTAATTATTGTGGAAATGCATCAATGCATTATCACAGTCTGTGAAATATCTGTTCATACATGACAAACCCATATATTTTTACTGCCACATATAGTGTATAGTGTATTTGCATGCAATGAGAAATTGTGAAATGTTAAATAATGTAAAATACAATAATAAATAAGTAACAAAGAAATAAAATGAAATATTAGTGCAAAATAAGAAAAACTACAATTAAATTAAATAAAGTAGACTATCTACAGAGTAAAGTAAATAGCAATAAAAATAAATAAACAAACAACAACAATGAAAAATTGAATACATTTTTTAAAAAGAAATCTCTCTCTCTCCCACCACCATAAATAGAAAATTTTATTTTATTACACGGTGTAACGCCACACCAGCAGAGGGAGCCCTCGCCTGAGTACTGACTGTGTACCGCTCCCTCTGCTTCTGCGTTCATTTCCTGTTTGATCAGTATTTAGCAAGGAACTGTGTGTTTGCTCATTGCGACGTATTGCCAGTTTATCTGCCTTACCAAGCGTTTCCATTGTTTTCTGCCTGCCTATTCTGTCCAGAAAAGAAACCCAAGTCATGGAAGAATATATTGAAGAGGCCCTTAGCTCAGGATTCATCCAACCCTCCACGTCTCCAGCTGCAGCAGGTTTTTTCTTCGTTGAAAAGAAAGATGGAGGATTAAGGCCTTGTATTGATTATAGAGGACTTAACAATGTTACCGTGAAATTCCGCTACCCCCTTCCACTGGTTCCTTCAGCACTAGAACAGCTCCGTGAGGCTACCATTTACACCAAACTTGACCTACGGAGTGCATATAACCTGATCAGAATTAAAGAGGGCGCTGAATGGAAAACTGCCTTCCTCACCATCAACAGACGACGTCGACCACATCCTCCCTACCAAACTGGACAACGGGTCTGGCTCTCTACGAGGAACCTCAAATTGCGGCTACCAAGCAGGAAGCTCAGCCCCAGGTATGTTGGTCCTTTCAAAATTCTAAGAAGAATAAATGAGGTCACATATCAGTTAGAGCTTCCTGCTAACTATCGTATCTCTCCATCCTTTCATGTTTCACTGCTCAAACCGGTCCACCCGGAGGCTGACCCCAACAATGAGGCTCGAGAGCCGCCACCGCCGCTGGATGTTGATGGAACCCCAGCTTACAAGGTGAATGAGTTACTGGACTCAAGACGGAAAGGGGGTCAGCTTCAATATTTGGTGGACTGGGAGGGCTATGGACCTGAGGAGAGATCGTGGGTAGCCGCCCGCGACATCCTGGATCCCTCTCTCATGGAGGACTTTCATCGAGCCAGACCCGATCGACCAGCACCACGACCACGGGGACGCCCACGTCGAGCGCCAGGAGGCGCTCCTAGAGGAGGGGGTTCTGTAACGCCACACCAGCAGAGGGAGCCCTCGCCTGAGTACTGACTGTGTACCGCTCCCTCTGCTTCTGCATTCATTTCCTGTTTGATCAGTATTTAGCAAGGAACTGTGTGTTTGCTCATTGCGAAGTATTGCCAGTTTACCTGCCTTACCAAGCGTTTCCATTGTTTTCTGCCTGCCTATTCTGTGTATGATTCTGCCTGATTATCTGCTCTACGGTTACTGATTTACCCCTTTGGATTGATAGCCTGATTTGGACTGATGATTGTGTTTGGACCTTTTGCCTGCTTACTCGTCTCTGCCTTTTGGATCTCCCTTGTGTATGTTGAAAGATTGGACTGCTGTTACGGTACTGACTCTCTGCCTGTTATTTCTATTAATAAACTTCTGCAAATGGATTCTAATGCTGCCTCAGCCTCACTGTTACACACGGATGGATTTTGATATCATAACGTAGGCCTAATACTTTGTATTAAATCATTATTTTGTCTGATTAAAATAAAAATAATTACTTCAATTAAGATTAAAGTCTATAAGTAAAAATTTGGCCTCTTTATATAAACAACAGAGAACCAGATTAAGTAAAATAACAATAAATCATTATTTTATCTTATTTAAATAAAATTAGCTACTGAAAGTTGTAAAAAGTTGTAATTTTTTTTTTACGTAATAAGTAGAAATTTGGCTTCTTTGAATAAATTACAGAGAGCCAGATTAAATATTTTCCTTAATGCCTAACACAATTTTAAATTTGTCTTTCCATTCAAAGTTGAAGGCTACTACATTTCTTACAGCCTGTTAACATTGAAGGAGCCTGTTGGCGGCACCAGCGGTGCGTAATAGCCTACGTGCGAGCTCGGAGTTGAAGAGCATAAATCAGATGTGCTATAAACCTGCGACCAACAGAGGTCATCCTCAACCCTCTGCGCTCAAACATATGGACAGTTTCGAAATGTCTCAGTGTTGTTTTCGTTTCCACTTATTTTTTCCGTGATGACAGCACTGTGAACGACAGAACCACAAACACACTGCTCGTTCTCAAATGATATATGTTTGCGTTCGACCTCAATAATCAAAGCATTTGAGCGCGAGATCAAAACATCACTGGAGTTAATAAAATTTATTTTTGTCTTCAAGAGAGTGTACCTACATTACACCAAGCAGATACAAAGTGTTTAGTAAGCCTTATAAAACCAATATTTTAGTGTTTGGATGAGATAACATCATGAAGTTAGAGAAGTTCCCTAAGCTGTTCTTTTTAAAAGCACATTATTAATGTTGTTCCTCTTTGACAGTGAGCTCTGTTGGAAAGCAGAAGTAAAGCATGTGGCCTGAAACTATAAGTACGTATCAATAAGTCGGTGAAAGTATCGACTCTGTGTTGTGTTTAAATCTTGTGGTTAGTCCTGAGGCCCCTCTGCCCCTGGTACCCCTCAAATGTGTCATGAGCGGAGCTAGAAGGTGTGTTGTGATGTCACTGTGTGGGACTCAGTTCAATAATGACAGGTGGAGCTCAAGAGTATGTTGCTGGAAGACGTCAGAGCATGTGGGAGAGTGCAGATCGAGGGGCAGTGGTTTTGTTGAATACGGGGCCAACGGTGACATTTTGAGCTGTTAACACCTTCAACCTCCGTACCGCTCCCCCACCCACAGACTGATGTAGTTGGGTTTGACCAACAGTACAAGCAGGTGCTCAGTGGTCAGATACAGCTAGATGGTGATGGTCGCAGGACATATTGTCTGTACAAAAAAGTATTTAATATAAGGCTTAGTGTGATATAAATAGACAGATAGATAGATAGATAGATAGATAGATATTTTCATTAAACTGCATTAGAAATGATAATTATTCTTTCATAATAGATTCTCCATAATATTTCATTAATAATAATTAATATGTAATTATTAATTGTCATCATCATCATCATCATCATAGATTTTAGCCATTTTCTTCAATTTATTCAGCTGTAAACATACACATAACAAACAAAAAATGTTTTGACATTTATTTTATTACACTATATTGTAATATGATATTTTACACCTTTTTAATAAATTCATTATATTATTAAACTAATTAAATTACTTTTTACAAATACAATATTTTATTTAATAAACATTGTGCAAAATAAATAAATAAATACATGTTGAAATTCAAATTGAATTAAAATTGCATTAAATTGAATTAAAAACGGTCATATTAGTTTCATACAGTTTTAGAATATTTCATTAAATTAATTAATATATTACTGTTGTTGTTGTTATAACCAATTTATGCAATTAATTCATGCGTACATTTTCAAATGTCTTTTGTTGATTATTTTGTAACACTGGATGTATTTTACACGAAATACCTTTTAATAAATCATTATTTTATCTTATTAAAGTTGTAAAAGTCTAAGGCTAAACTTTAAATGCAGTGTATTTTGCTTTGGTCAAAAGTGTCTGCCAAACTATTTCACTTTCAAAAGCACACAACAGAGAATTTCCTGGTTACGTTAGGTGTATAATGGACAACTACATGTGGTATAACCTAGGCATCTATACTATAAGTCTGTCTACATGTGTTTTAGCTTGTTTTATATACTGTATGCATGTTTATATGAGTGTGCATGAGAGTGATATGTTTGGAGGTGTGGCACTGAGTGAATGGAACTTAAGAATGGAATGGTGATAAGTTCAGTATGTATCAATTTCAGCTCATATCTGAGGCAGATAATTTGCAAGCACAGACTGTTCTAATGCAGGTCTCTGTGTAGGGTTATAGGGATTTTCCCTCTGTGCAGAAATCTGAGATTCATTGCACATGAGGTAAGCATTTCAGTCAAACACACAGGCAATATGTAATTAGACAAACCTTCAGGACACTTACACATGCCTCTCTTTCTCCAAGCAAAATTGTTTAATGAGTACCCTTGATTTAGCTGTTGTATAAAGTAGATTTGCTTGCTGAAGAGATTCTGAATGACCTTTGCTTTAGACCTTCAGATCAGAATAGTGTGAAAGTGGCATGTTTTGTCTGCTACTCAAATGATTTTCCATATTAAGCAGGATTTTCAGATTCAAATATTAATGTTCCTGAAAAAATTGATGCGAAAGCAATTTTCACTAAGAAATTGCTAGTAAATTTGACAAATAATAACAAAGAAATATCAGTAACACACTGAATTAAAATAGAGATCGACCGATAATCAGTTTGAAAGATTTTCCCTGATATTTATCTTTTCCATAACTGGAAATTGTTTTTTGTAATATCGGATCCACCAATAAAGCCCATCTTTTTTGCACACACAACATGCATCACTGCATCTGAAGGGTATAATCAACTTGACATAAGAGCCATTAATGCACAAATGAGATGCGTTACATAAATGCTTGATATGTAGTTTAAGCTTGACGCTAAAGAACTACATGAATTAAATAAAACAGCCTTAAAAGATCCACTAATAATATGAACATTTACTACATAACAGCTGTTTCACTAACAAGCATCTAAGTAATTACAGCTCTGTGAAAAATGAATAATCTATCTAAATGGCCACATACACTGTAAAAAAATTCCATAAAATTTACAGTAAAAAAGTGGCAGCTGTGGTTGCCAGAATTTTACTGTAAAAAATATGGTAGCAACATTTTAGGTTTTACGGATTTAGCTTAAATTTTCATTTAAAAACAGTATTTAATTAACTGATATAATGCTAATATACCAACCTATTAAAGTACTGAAATCTGATTAGTACTTTTGTAACACACTGAAAACCCCCAAAAGCAGGTGGTGATGATGAATCACATGATGAACCAAAGCTCATCATAAGCAGCTTTTCCATAGAATGAGAAAGAAAATACTAATGTGTCATTCACACAAATACTAAACACCATAATGGTAACACATGACACTAACGTAATGCAAATAAACATTAATTTAACAACCTTAGATGTAACATACAACCTTAATGAACACAACTGATAAGAAGCTACCGTATTTTTTACGGTAAAATTCCGGCAACCACAGCTGCCGTTTTTTTACCGTAAATTTTACGGAATTTTTGTTACAGTGTAAGAAGAAACTGTTATTTCAACGAAAAAACATCAAATGTAAAATGTAACGCAAGGAATTCTGGAAATGTCAATTTACATTTTTTCACTGTAAATTATATGTTCTTTTCACTTATAAAAACTCTATTTTAAAGTAAAATTACATGAAATGTCCAATACAGTTTTTCACCGTATATTGTATAGTAACTGCTGCATTGGTATCAGTTATAAAAAATCAGGAAGGGTCAATCTCTGAATTAGTTATGCAAGAAGTATCAGTATCTTAGTATAGAAGTATCTTTTATCAGTCCTTTTCTGGATTGCCTTTCTTTATAGCAAAAAAATCACTCTCTCTCACCAGCGCCAGATAGCAAAGCTTGGCATTGAAGTTTCACCATTCATAAACACAGTACATTATTAGACTGTAATATTATCTTTCCTTGTGAACTTCCTCATTCTCCTGGTGAGAGCAGCACACAAGAGAAGGCAGTTCTTTGAGGCGTGTCATCCATTTCCCATCACGCAACAACGTGTGTGTGTGTGTGTGTGTTTGCTCGTGACGGAGGACAGGGGGAGGAGCTTGACTGGAACTGAGAAGTTTGGATCTGTTGTATTTTGCCCTGGCTTTGTTCCAGGGCAGAAATGCTCTGACCAAACATGTATCATTGTAATGTAGACGCACAAAAGACTTTGGAATCCCTTTTCAGCTCAGTGTTGAATGCTGGTAACAAGATAATGATATTGTGTTAAGGTTAATGTGCTTTGGCTGGGAGCCAGGTCAGAAATCTAACTCTTGTTAAACACAGAAGCACTTATAGATATGACAAAGCATATACTGGAAAATAAGTAGGAGTATATTAGGATTATACAGCCACCGCATCGTGGTCACAATTTTTCATCTCAACATCTTGTATTTTTCATAATTGCTGCTTATTTTTGACTGGTGTGCAAATATTAGCTGTTGTTAAACTGAGTGGTTTCTATTTTCATCTTCTTCATTAGTTCCAGGAAGGTAAAACAAACAAACGTCACTTATTTAATTCACTGACATCTGCTAAAGTATTTTCCACCAAGATCTGTGCGATTATTACCTCATCATGGTAGTCATGACAACACCAGGACTTATGATCTGATATGATCAAAAGAACTCTATTGAGTCATTAACCTGTTACCTTTGCCCTCATTAACAAGCATAACAGAAAACTTTTTCTAAGAAAACAAAACTTGCTAAAATCCCACAGTAATGCTTGCACTGTCCCTTCGTATGAATTGTTGTTTCTGTTTAGGAGCTGCATTGTGGTTTGCTACAGACAGACAGGAAGCCACGATTTTTTAAACAGCATATCTTCCAGATAAGACCATAAGAAGAGTCTGTCTACAAGTGTGTCCTGTATTCACAGGTATTGACGTCTCTGGGGAAAGCAGCTCTTGTTCATACTGGCTATAAACCACACAATTTCAAGAAAAGTTGTGAGCTTTATCAGAATATAAAATAAGATTATTAAAAAAATCCATGTACTGACGTCTTTAAATGTTTACCTAAAAATGAATGACTCACACCGTTAGCTTGAAGGCCTATGATTGTTCCTGTTTTTCTTTGATGCTTAAAGAAAGCATTTTCTTTGATGCTTAAAGGAATAGTTCACCCAAGGGGGAAAAAAAATGCTGAAAACTCACCCTCAGGCCATCCAAGTTTGTTTTTCATCAGAACAGATTTGGAGGTCCACTGCAGTGAATGGATGCCATCAGAAATGAGATTGATAAAAACATTGGGGAAAGTTACTTTTAAAAGTAATGCATTACAATATTGCGTTACTCCATAAAAAGGCGTTACTTATTTGAAAAAGTAACTCAGATGTTCTCTTGTAAATTAAAAAGTAATGCGTTACTTTACTACTTGAAAAAAGTAATCTGATTACGTAACTTGCGTTACTTGTAATGCGTTACCCCCAACACTGAACATCACAATAATCCACAAGTAATTTGCGTAATCTACGTAATAAACAAACCCATCACTAAAATGTTTTTAACTTAAAAACATTGCTTCGGGCTAAAATATGAGTCCCATAACCATAATATTACTTTCTCCAGTAAAACAGTTGTCTTGTCTGAATCAGGAGAGAAATAACAGGAAAACAAAACAAAACATTGTGCTTATGCTTATGATGTAATATATAAAATCCAAGAGAACCTTCTGCTTCATTTGACATCGATTCCAACACAAACCAAATTATTAACCAGATGTGAAATTTGACATTATTACCTAAAATTGACTTACACTACTGTTCAGAAGTTTAGGATCAGGAAGATGGTTTTTTTGTTGTTGAAAGAATTCATACTTTTATTCAGCATTTAAGTGATATTAAGTGATAAGAGACAGTAAAGACATTTGTAATGCTACAAAAAATCTACTTCAAATAAATGCTATTCTTTTGAACTTTCTATTTATCATAGAATCCTGAAACAATGATTCTGCTTTCCACAAAAAATATTAAGCAGTAAAACTGTTTACAACATTGATAATTATAAAAAATAATTGTTAATTGAGTAGCGCATCAGTTTGATCTATTTCTGAAGGATCCTGTGACACTGAAAACTGGAGTAATGGCTGCTGAAAATTCAGCTTTGCCATCACAGGAATAAATTACATTTTAAAATATATGTAACTAGAAAACAGTTATTTTCAATCACAATATATCACAGTATCACTGGTTTCACTGTAAACACATTTATCGACCTCAAACTTTTGAATGGTATAGTTTAGGGCTGCGCAAAACCACGTTCATAATCGCGCGATTTTTTGCGCAGCTTGTCAGTAAACAACGGCTCTGTGTAGTAAATGCTGCTCAATGTGAAAGCCCGCACGTGATGGAGATTTACCGCTGATTACAGAAGCGGCTTTACGGACAAGATGCGCGTTAAATATCGCATGCGATTTATCGTGCAGCCCTAGTATAGTTTATATTTTTACACAGTCTTACAACTTCGATCACCTCAGGAGGGTGTTGGTAATTTATGATAGTGATTTTACCCATGTAGCACATTTCTGATTGATTATTAATACAATTTGTTTAACTGATGGTGTATGCAATATCTCATGTATATGCAACATATAAAAATCGTCATCATTTTGTAACTCCAGTATTGAAATGACATAAAAAGAGAAACAAAAAGTAAAAGAGTATTTCCAAATTGTGGAAAAAAAGTGAATAAAAAAATGTCATTAGGAAGTAAAAAATTCCTAAGTTTCAAAATCAATTGAGTAACTCGCCAGCATAACAATGTGGTTCTACACATTATATACTGTATAGCCCTGTTGAGTTTTGAAACTGCTTGAATGACACAATGACTGCTTCACAGGTTTTAATATTCTTGTTAGCATATGACAACAGGTTTAGAAATATGAAAGCCAGACACGTTCACATCCAAAGGCTCCTCTTCTTTCTTATAACTGAATGTTATTTGAAAAGACATTTGTACACCAAATTAGAGAGTTTAATCTTTTATTTACCTGAACTTTGGAATGTGAAACAGAAACAGATGATGCATTCAAATTACCAGTATGAATGAAAACAAACATTGGCCACCTCCACATATGTAGCAAACATTTACATACATGAAATCACAAAATCCATGTTCAGTAGTATAAACTTTAATTTGATAAAAATACAAAAACTCACCCACAGAAAATGCAATATAAAAGCAAACTCCACAATTAGCATGTGTATGCTAAATAAAGTAAAAATAGAATGAGACATTGGTCTTAGTTTTCTAAAGCCTTAATATCACTTTCGAGTTACCAATAAAAACCCTTTTATGAACAGCACGTTTGAGAACCTTGGATAAGAAGCATGTTTAAAATGACATAGCCATTACCCAGGGACAATTCCCTGCTAGTTCCCACGTTAAGGAACACGATTACCCTGCCATAATTGAGCGTTTGTGGACAAATGGTCCCAAACTACTCCAATATGACCATCAGACTGTTATGTACATAGACGTTTCATAAAATCTCACTGCTTTACCTAATTGGCTGCAGCAACGTACAGTATTTCCAGGACAACAAACCCTCCTGATTTTCAGGAAATACATTAAGTGAACATAAATCAGAGCCTATATTTAAAGAACAAAATCATGAACATCTTGAACACTTATGGAATTCGACTCTATTCGGGGAAGAATGACCAGGCAAAAGAATCAAGATGGCTCTCCTGCCCCATGCTGCTGGCAGGGTACGGAATATGCGAGACCCTCTGATTGGGCCCACCAGCTTCCATTTGTCTCATGGTCTCTGCGGTACTTCCATTGGTGGTGGTGGAGTTCAGGAGCGCGGTGAAGGACTGCCCACAGTCCGAGCTGGGCCCCAGCACAGCCATATTGCTCGGCCCTTGAGTTTCCTGTTTCAGTGGTAGGCCTGGAGCATGATTGCCCATCAGGTTTTGAAATAAATCATCATCTATGTTGCCTGTATACAAGTAGCCAGTTCCCATTGACCCACCGGTGCCTGTTGCCCCATTCTGTGTGCTTTGAGGCTGTTGGTGGCCATAGTTATACCAATTATGGGCTCCGTCTACGCCTTGCCTTTGAGGTGGCTGTTGGGATTGCTGGACCTGCTGGTTTTGCTGGTTCAGCTGGTCCTGTCGAAGCTGGCTGCTGGTTGGGCCATTGGGTTGAAGAATCTCCAGATCCGTAGCGGTCAGCAGAGGAAGGCTGTTTCCACTTTCCCCTGTGGTGGGCATGCTGGGACTTGGGTTCACCTGCTGTAGGCACACTCCATTACTGGCTCTGGTGGTGTTGGCGACTGGACTGGGCCATGCTTGACTGAGTGTCCCTGACGGTGGAGGTTCTGTTAGGGGTGGCATCATGGAGCAGGACGGAGGGGCTTTGTTATAATAGCCTGTCGGATTTTGGTGCATCACCCCATGATTGGATGGACTATAATAATTTTGTTGCTCTGTAAAAAGAATACGCTGGGTTATATAAGAATACTGTTTACATAAAGAAAATTTTGATATATTGGTATTTAGTTTGGGTTACATGAAAAGTGCCGTGCATCTTACCGAGTTTGATTCTCTGATTTATCATGCTAGGTGAAGGCACTGCTTTTGGTCTGTTCATGAAGCTCATGGCTCCTTGGGAGAAGCCAGAGAAGGATTTCATCTGGCTTTCAATTTTACGTTTCTTCTCTTGACAGCGATATGGATCTGCTTCCCAGAACGACACTGAATAATTTACACACTGGTTGCAGTTCCATAAATCAATGTTGATGTGTGCAGATTTTGGGAGAGTCAATTCTTGTTTGATCAGATCAACTTTACAATTAAAACATTAAAAATTCCCTATATATAAAGAGAGCAAGGGATCGAAAAAAAAAAAAAAAAAAAAAAAATTATGCATGATGCTCATGTTGACTATCAAAATCAAAAATTTTAAAAATATTTTATTGTGGATACTCTTATTTGTCATTGACCCATTTGCAACAACAATGAACAGTGAAGGCATGGGCCAAAACCAAACAATCCACGATGTGGGTATCAGAAAACTACAGGATGATCTTTTACCTTTGTCATCGGGGAGATAGCGGAACTCCATGGGCTCACTGACCTCCTGGTCCGTGGGCCGGCGCAGCTGCATGCGCACTGTGACAGGGGCTGTGATGGTGGTGTCACAGTAGGCGGGTGTCTTGAACACTATGGCCACTTGCCTGTGTACGTCTGCCTGAGAGAATAAGCCTTTGGCCTCCCAGGTCTGAGTGAAGAACCTCACCTCAATGTCATCTAGAGTAAGGTGATGTGATGGTATTAAATAAAAGAATGGCATAAAAAAACTAGCAATGGAAGATGGATAGATAATTTTCCATAAAATAAAATGAATGGATGATGAATAAAAGAAAAGAACATATGAGATTGGTTGACTGAATAAATAACTTAATAAATACCTACATGAATTTCAGATCTCTATTTCAGCTTTTAATTTTCTTTAAGTTAGCAAAATGGCTGAAATTGATAACACTTTGAATATTTTTTTCAAATAATTAAAATGTTCCCATACCTTTCTGCACTTTATCGCAGAGGAGGAAAATCTCATCACCTCCCTTTACACTGCCACTGTTCTTGTTCACCCGGCAGATTCGCAATTCGGCTGTATTCGGGGCCCCTGAAACAAGCACAGGCCATTGAGATTGAAGATGAGAAAATCTTAACAAACTTGAAACACAGACATGCACTGCTATGAGCAGTAGGAAATCATTTTTCACATTCTTTGACTTTATCAGAGTATCTGCAGGCACAGCCACACTTGCAAACATTATGTCCTGAGACTAAAAAGCAGCCAAACCTGTCACGATTTAGAGAGTAAGGGTGGGGTGGTTTATTACTTCCTCTTTTCTGGGTTGTACAAGACTGATTTCTGTGATGGCAAAGAACGGCTTGTCATATTAACACTGGCTGTAAATATATCAAAGATTTCAGGTCAAACGTACCTACGTATGCTTGTTTTGAGCATTTACATGTTTTGTTTTACTGCAAAATTTGACTGCATTGTCATGAAAACGACATGAAAGGCTTGAGAATCAGCCTCTACAAGCAGACGAAAGGGTTTAACCAAGTCATGGCCTGAGCTTTTTTTTTAAATTTATTTTTTAATCCGCTAACTTATTTAGCATCACAAAACCACACAAAAACACTCTGCAAGAACTGCTGTTCTGCATCTAGCAGTACACCACCATCACGTGAGGAAGTGTTGAAATGGACCATGCTCATTTCCTGTAGTGTGGGATGTGGTCACTTACAGAACTGTCACCTAAGCGATGCATACACAGCTTCATGCTCTGTGGAAACAGTGACTTGCATCATGTTTAATGCCACACAATAAGTAAGTCAAAGGGGCTGCCAAACTGTTGTGCTCTGAAGGGTATCACGTTCTTCTCTATCTAAAATTAAATGCTATCAAATATGGCAGATATTGAAAACCAATAACGATAATTATACCGGTAATTATGACCATTAAATAATCCTAAATTTCAAACTACAGACTCAAGACTCATTTTTGCTAATTTACATTGATTATAAATTATAGAACATGACAGAAAACATATCATTTAACAAGTTTTATAATTGAAAATTATATAAAACTCCACAAAATGTTTTAGCTACTAATAAATGTTAAATTTGATTATGTAATGGAGTGAAATGACTAAAAATTCTCATTACTTATTTTTATACGTATAAAAATCATTATATTACAATAAAAAAAAATACTGTAATCATTTTTATTTTAGTTATATCAACAAACTAAAGGCAAAACTAAAAAGGCAGGCACCATAATAAAAAATATAAATAATAAATATTGTATTCTATTTCAAGATTAGCCCTACCATCCCCAGTGAAGTGTAATTCTGTACGACTAGCAGCAGCAAAAACAACCCAGTTCTGCCACTCACCAAAGAGCTAAATAAACTAAATACAAGTCACTGGCTGAATCAGTGTTGTTATGTTGCCAAACAAACAGTTTTCAATTCCATTTGTTGCCATGCAGTAATGACACACTTCACATTTAATGCTGGGTTCTTCAACTCACTGTTGTCATAGATGGGGTTGGAGACGATGGGAGGCAGCGTGGTGTTGTACATCCCGGTCTCATCTTGCAGAAAAATTTGGAAGCAAAGACGCACCACATTCAGATCATACTCCTCAGTCTGTAGCAGCTTTTCCCGGGGAACTGTGGACACAAAACATATGTTCAATGTTGCAGTGTGTACAAAAAACATATCAACACATTAATCCTAGATGTAATTTGTGTGTCAAAACAGAGCAGGAGATATTTAGTGTCATGTGAATGAGGTGAATGAAGAGGAAAGCGGAAGAGGGAGAAGAAAATGAAACGGGCACGAGAATGAAAACCAGGTTTACACCAAATACACAAAATAATGTTCTTTTTAGCAGCATCATATGACCCCTTTAAAACTAGCTGACACATTTGTGACACAACTTGTGATAAGTTTTTAACATGATAATTCTTTCATGATAAAAAGCATGCTCACCCCAGTTCTGAAAAATATAAATAAATAAGTACTGTAATGCAAAAAATAAACAATATATTATTTTAAAATGAATTTCTTTCTTTATTTAAGTATTGTGCTGTTTTGCATTGCCTTTTGTTTGATAATTTAATGAAATGTATATTTTACTTTGATATAGTAATTTTTTGTACTTTTTACAGTAAACTATTGTAATGTTGGTAATTCATGCAAAATATATACGTTTATATATACATATTTATAATTCAAAATTCTAGATATATAAATTATATATCGTAATTTTGAATTTGGTTAGGAGTGTGTGAAGTATGTGGAAAATAATGCGTTTTTTTAACTTTAAACCGCATAAACACATTTCATTACACCAAATACACAAAATAATGTTCTTTTTAGCAGCATCATATGACCCCTTTAAAACTAGCTGACACATTTGTGACACAACTTGTGATAAGTTTTTAACATGATAATTCTTTCATGATAAAAAGCATGCTCACCCCAGTTCTGAAAAATATAAATAAATAAGTACTGTAATGCAAAAAATAAACAATATATTATTTTAAAATGAATTTCTTTCTTTATTTAAGTATTGTGCTGTTTTGCATTGCCTTTTGTTTGATAATTTAATGAAATGTATATTTTACTTTGATATAGTAATTTTTTGTACTTTTTACAGTAAACTATTGTAATGTTGGTAATTCATGCAAAATATATACGTTTATATATACATATATACATATTTATAATTCAAAATTCTAGATATATAAATTATATATCGTAATTTTGAATTTGGTTAGGAGTGTGTGATTATACGTGTGGATACTTACGTATGTATATGTATATACTTTAAAGCTGTAAGGTTTTGTTTGTGGAGGTATATGAATACATTTGATAAATGGTTGAAATGTCTAAACTTTAATGCTCCAACATATATTCTATACTCGAGACATTAGGCTTGACGTTCTTTGTTTTACAATATGTATTGAGTTTTTTTTATTCTATTTTGTTTTTTATGTTTTATTTAGTTTGTTTAATTCAGTGGTCGCCAACCCGTCGATCGCGATCGACTGGTAAATTTTTAGACTAAACAATACTTGACAATCTAAGCCATTGTGCATGGTTGACTTCAAATTTAGTTGTGATACCATGTATAAATAAGTGATATAAAGGAATGTTTTGAATTCAGATGTAGTTATTTGGGTTTATTTTTTACAATATAATTCTTTTTTTTGTTTGGTTTAACCTGCTTCCATGTTATATTTTGGACTTGAACTCATGACATGTCGTAATAATGAATGCCCGAACAAGGTGCATTTGAAGGCAGCATTAATACAAAGCGTAAACGTTGTCCAAGTCAGAAAAGCAAGCAGCATGTAGTGCTCTTGCAGATTCTACCCAGCAGCATCACCAGAAATGCCACTGACACATCAGCCTACAAGCACACAACCACCCACAGGGGTGCTCGTGCAGACATTTCGCAGTGTGCATATCTCCACCCACTCTAACCCTCAGGAGTCTGTCTCTTCTCACCCCACGGCTATCCTGCCCACAGCCGTGACGAGCTTTGAGCACTCTGTGGTCACAGCAGGTGGAAATATCGCAGTGGGTTAGGAACAGCTCGAGTGACAGTATCACTGACGACTCTGCAGCAAAGGGGGCGGCCTCCTGACGTGAAGAGACACCTCTGTCCAGACCACAAGCCCAGAAATGGGAAAGAAGGATGGAGACAGAAGCTGAGCAGCGAGGAGCACAGCAGACAGATGTAAAACAGACAAGAAGGAACAGAGGAACAGAGATAAGGTGGGAGGAGATGAGTGGGTGTGGAAGATAGCGAGAGGTGGAGTGTGAGAAAGGCAACTGCGAGCCACGGTGTGGTCGCGTTTATTTGCGTATATGTGCGCCTCTAGTTCTGCATTTAGTGAAGTCAGAGAGCAAGAGGAACGAGTGGACAGGAGTTGCAGGTGGGTGATGAATTAGGTTAGCGTGGGCTGGTGGAAGGTGAAGCAGAGGGTTCGAGTTGTAGAGAGAAATGGGGGCAGGCAGGTAAAGATTCTCCATTCTGTGGGCATACCACTATTCCCAAGCCTGACACTCATCTCTCGTCACCTGAACTCACCATCTGTGACACTTAACACCATACTGTGCTCAACACCCACTCAGCACCCATCACGGCAAATCCAACTATGGGCAACCCCACTGACACCACACATTTTTACAGTTACATACTTTTTTGCAACATGGCACGTATGCCTACTAAATAAACTAGTTGTGATTTCGAATAATTGTGAGTTATCGTGCACAGTCACATATTACCAACCAAATAAGGGAATTGTAATCAAATGTAGGAATGTCATGAAATGCACATTTTGATGTGCAGTAATGCGTAATTTGAACCCTCAAACCCTCAGGTTTTAATGCGAACATGTAGTGCTCTGGATTCACTCAATGTTAATATTTATGCAATGGCAAATATTTTTGGATGTTACAGTTTGGACCACACTGATGCATGAAAATGACAAAATTACATTTACATTTAATTATTTAGCAGACACTAAAGTAATTACTAAAACAAATGTGTTACTTGCAAAATATTCTAATATTAGGCTATGTTATATTGGCTAGATATAAATGGTGAAGTATAAATGGAAGGTGGACCCAAATGAGAAATATTTTTATTTATGTATAATTATATATATATACTGTATATATATATATATATACATATGATAAATATACATTTAAATATAATATTTTCTTTTATTTCATTTGTAAATATTTTAATATGTAATATATTATTATTCACATTAAAAAGAATGAAAGGTAATACTATATTTTAGAGAATGATTTCAAGTCCAAACTGAATAAATGATTTCTTAATGTGTACACTGTAAAAAAAGAAAAAAGATTTTTCGAGGTTGTAATAAAAACAATGATTATTGGAATATGCTTTACAAAAAAATACTATTTCAGTCTTTCTACTAAATTTCATGTTTAATTCAATGTGCTACTTGCGGTTTCTCTGTTTGCAAAATGTACTAGCAATGTCGGAGTGAAAACTCTTTCAAAGTAACTTTCATTGTAGGAGTATTAAGCAGAACATGAAACAATTACATCATTAATCACAATTATTGGTATGACATTTAATCCTCAGCTATACTTTCATGTCTCCGACAGCCCTAACCACAAAACGAATACCTCCTAGCTATTACCTAGTCAATAAATGAAATGAATGATAGTATACACTGTATATGCATGTGTCATCAATGCAATCATTGTGGGATAACGTCAGTGCAAATGAGGTAATCTCTGGCAGGTCAACCCTTCAACACATGACCAAACTTCAAAAGTAATATCAAAACTAATCTCACAACAATTGCCACCATGACTAATCTACCTAATTTCAAGGGATTGTGAGTGTTACGCAGCCAAACAGAGAGATCTTTATTTGGTTATCACAGCAGAAGCGAGAGCAGTCCCTCAAACAGTCCGTCACCACAGAGAGCAGCAGAACAAGCAAAAGGAAGCAAACAAAGAGTCAAGTTCACAGTCTAACATTCCCTATGTTCACTAACCATATTGTGTAAAGACCTGTTGCAACACTTTCATAATTTCTCAAATATCATTTGACTAGACAGTGGTATGACACTACATGATGATTGTTGTTGAATCACTTCATATAGAAAACTATAAAGAATATCCTCAATATTAAAGTCTCATTTCCAAAAGTTACTCTGTAGGTCAACTAGTCAGACTTATTGATCACTTATTAATCAAACATTGCTGGTGGTGGCAAAAGACAATCTGAAACTTAAATTACCTAGAGAAGCTGCTTTAAAAATGTGTTGTAAATTCCACCCACACAATAGTTTGCATTGAAGTCCTGAAGTATTTGGCTGTTTGCAAATTCCAAGCAGAATAAGCCAAAGTTATCAGTTACACAAAAAAGTATAGTTTACAGTTCCTCTTGACATTCCTCCCTCTCTGAATAAATTCCCCCTGATCATATGCCACTCAATACCGCAGCCAGTTGTCTTCACTAAATAAAGAGAAGTGATTTTTAACTGCATTGTCAGATGACAGTTTCTGTCATACAGTACTGAAGACAGGAAAGAGAGAAATTTGTAAGCATTAAAATGTGTTTTTAATGATGCACGATGTTGTCGGCCATCATCTAAATACAGAATTTCTGATAATGAGAGTAAAAGTGAAAGAAACTGGGTCAGTAATAATGATAAGAGGTAAGAGAGGTGATTAGAAGGCCCAGATGGAATTTGCAGATGTTTTCGTGTTAAATTTGAGGATAAATCTGATAAATCTGTGATATATAACTAATTTGCAAGACACTTTGGATAAAAGCATCTACTAAATGAATAAATGTAAATATACACATTAGTGTGTATAAACAAATTAGTTGGGGCAAGTGTGGACATTTTTGAATAATTTCACCCCAATTCGGATTCAATTTGTGGACTTTTCTGTGTATGCAGATTCTATTTGGGCCTGGAGAAAAAAGTGCAGTTGGTTCTCACCATTGAAGGGGTTGATTCTTCGCGCAATCCTCTGCATTATGGCATCTCTCACTTCTCGTCTTCGCACACACTGGATACCCAGGTTCTGAAAACTGAGAAAAACAAAGAAACAATCTTTTAAACTGTGTAGTCTGATTTTGAGCGGCCAGATCTGTTTAGTTCTATGTATTGTCCATCTTGAAAACTGATCCCAACGAATAAAGCTAACAGGAAGAGTGAGGTTAAAACTAATCGTATTGACATACTGTTTAAAATTGAGGGCAGGCTGGAGCTCTAAGGCTCTCATTTTGCATATCGGGGGAATCCCCTGCATGGCTTTTTACTCTGACACAACATGCTTCTTAAAAAAATAAAAATAAAAAGAAGAAGAATGGACAGCCCTTCGGAAGAGAACTGTGGTAGTGTGTGGGCTGGAGTAATACGGAAAGCACATTGGAATGGCTTTGATGTGGGGCACAGAGATGTTTCATTTCATTAGAAGAAAAATGGTAACAGGACCAAATGAGATTAGAGCAAAATATGCAGATAATATATCTGCAATCAAAGGTTATTAAACTTCTGTATTCATGTGACATAAAAATTATTTTGACATTTTAACATTAAAAGCACCAACTTACGCGATGACTCTTCGTTCAGGTCCAAACTCTACCTCGTAATAACCATCCTTGCAGTCCTTACCCACCAGGTCATGGGGATGCGGTTTATATGGGTCGCTTTTGGTTACCAGGGTAACACGTACTTTTCCTTTCCTGGTAACATTTAGAATCTAATAGGGAGAGATATATAGAATCACTTAGTAAGTAACATTTTCCTTAAAGTCTAATTATACAGTCAGTTCTTTCTTTAGTGGTATAAGACTTTAGAAGCAGGTACCTGAATGCTTGGGTAGGTTCTGTTATTGTCTGAGCTTCTTTCTCCAGGTATGCTGCCTGCTGAACGACCCTCACATTTATATCTGAAGCGCATGCCTCTCTGTTTTGGCTGCTCGAAGATCTGAGCACAGGGCTCTCCCACTGCACAGACCGGCAAAATGACGTCAGTCAGAGATGTGAATTTCATTCATTTAAATATTCAAACGATTCAAAAACATTTCAAAAACTTAAATGAGTCTTATAACTTATTAAAATGCCAACACTGAAGATGCATAAGAATAAGATAATGGGCTTGAAACACCTGCAGAAACAACATCTTGTGTCTTTCACAGAACCTGACCATAACCTGACCACAAACAACCCAGCCTGCTGGTAAATAATTTCCCACTCTCTGCACCTGTCAGCACAGACCTTTACCAGCTCATCCAGGTGCCATTAAACTAAGCATATCATACGTTCTTCAAACACCTGCACAAACAGCTGCATTTACCATGCAATATATTTGGTTGTTTTTAACACACTTGCTTCTGACATTGACAAGAACATGCGAGATCTATTTGCCTATGCATTCTTACAATGTGAAATGTCATAAAATAAGCTGGGGAAGCTATTAAATCTATGGTTATAATGCATGAAATAGATCTAATGTATGATTTAGTGAAGGGTACAGATGTCACTCACTACTGTCTGCTCAAGAGATTTGTCACTTACAGGAAGTTATATCTTTATCAAATAAAAGAGGAAGTAAGGTAAGGAAATCTGAACAATTTTTTTTTTTTTTACAAGGGCAACTGGGTGACGTTTAAACATACTTCATGAGTAATTAGGCAAAGTTTATGATCCACCCTAAACTTGACTCAAAACATGTTACTAACATTAGTAACGACAGAATGCGTTTCACACTTGGCACAGATGAAGATGTACTTACTTAGATTGGGGTCCCTGTGCATTGATAGGGAATGCACTGTACAGGAAAGCATGGATAGAAGAACATAGATTACAATCAGCTAAATATATTGTAATCCATTTGATATTGTACAAGAATGGACAAACGTGCAGATGAGAATAAGAGAGCTGAAGCTTAAACTGTTTTTTTTTTTTTTTAAGTTCCTCATTTTTATTTCCTGGTGTTACTTGGTCCCTCATGTATTCATGTACTGACATTTGTTTAGTTTACATAAGACCTATCGTCAGTTTCGAAGTTTTAACTTTAGAAATTTGTTTTCAGGTAATGCGAATCATATTGCTTTTCGCAAGTGATTTCTGTGATTGTACACTTCCACAAAGACAACTCTGCTTGTTATTTCCTGTAATATATAAAACTACGAACCTGTATAGTTTTTCTTAAACAGAATCAGATTTGAGAACAATGTAGAACAGGTTATATTGTAAGATTACAGATTACATTGATCAAGTTTTACAAACCCAAGAAAACGGAAAATAGCATAAAAAATCATTGTTGTTGAGAGGGATTCTACATAATAAAAATTATGAGTTGGTAGATTAAGTATCTTGAAATGGCTATCTAAACAACTCAAAACAACGGTGATGTTCTGAATCGAATATCTATTACACAGACTTGAATTGTACGCATAATTTAAGACAGCAAAGAGCAAGAAAGGGAAAAGAAAAAGACATTTGATTAATTTAATAAATACTGATACTCACCATCCATGTTATGCGAACACCCTTGTCTTAGGTTTTACGTCCGAGCTCTAATGTGCTGAACAGATATACAGTAACACTTCAACACAGAAGAGTAGGCCTACTGACTGGGAATTCCCCCACTATATACAATATGCCCGCCCACATACCACGTCACGCCCCTCTGTGGCAAGCCGTTTTAACAGTTATTCTTAATGTACTAGCAATAAATCACAACACAATAGTGACTTTTCCAGTTTCGCTAATAAATATCTTATTAGATACTAGTATTTTCTTTTCTCATTTGCTACTGCTCACTATTTCAATAGTGGCTAGTAACTATTTACTTTCACATTTTTGTCTTTCATGAATTATATGCATTTAAATTGCTGCTGATACTAACTGCAGTTTTACTAACAGCTATGCATTAGGTGCAAGTACTTGTTCTTTTGTTGTAACTTTTCATATAGTTCTTGTCCAGTTTTCTTAGTTCTAATTAAATTAGCCACTAGTGTTTATACCATTTGTTACTAGCTAGTAACTACTAAGATTTTTAATTGAACTATAAAGTAGCCATTCTAATTAGTCATTACTTATAAAAAGTAAAAAAAGAAATTGCAACTAGTGAAAAAATGTTAGTAGAAACAAGTGGGATAGACTTTAGTACTATCTTAAAAAACACTAGTAATACCAATACAGATAGGTGGATAGTTACTAGTAACTAAGAAACAAACAGAAACCATAACATCAAAAATAAAAAGTTAAAAAAAAAAGTTTTTTGTTTTGTTGTGCTTTCTGTGTTGATAACATTTTGTGGAGCCTAATTACCACTTTCAGTCTTGCAATACATATGCGATTGTTAAAATTTTTCTTGCATAAATTTTCATTCATTAAAATAAGGTGTTTGCCAATAATATAAAACCATATTAGTGCAAGAAAGAAAGATAGAGATATATTAGACATTACAGATTTAATTTATGCCAAAGACTATACGGAAAACTGATTAGCCAACATGGTAGCAGCGTTCCAGGCATTTAATTCTGCCAGTAGATACCTACACCTAATTTATATATTTCATAGATGATATTACTCCCAAGAAAAAATGTGATGATTTTCCCAATGGCAAATTTCATGCACACGCACACAAAACTAGTTTAGTAAATAATAATAGTAAGCAATAAGTATGGAAGCTCAAAAAATTTGCAACAGAGGCTTGAGATGGGATGTGTAAAAAATGTCATACACACAAGAGCGTTTTAGAGACAAAAACCTGAAATATGTCTTGAAATAAATCGACATTTTGAGCTGTGATAACTGTAATATAAGCAGAATAATTGATTCAGTGTTGTTGAATTATTATGAAAAATAATACACACCCAAGGTGGTAATCCCTCCACAAAGCAAGCAATATCATAATTTAGGTTTAGGTATCTACCGGCAGAATTAAATGACTGGGATGCTGGTAATATGTTACTCAGATTTGCATATAGTCTTTAGCATAACTTAAATTTGAGATGTCTATTATTTAATGTCTAATATGTCTCTATCTTCCTCTCTCTCACCCACTTTATGTTAGTGACCCGTCGTCAATTATTCCTTACATAGCATCTAACTGAACAGATAGCAGTCACTACTGGATTACATATTAAATACCAAAATAAGTACTAGAAATAAAAATAGATACTATTTAAATATATGTTAATAAGGCTTGCCATATCCTTCAGCGTACGCACAGCCAATCAAACGACGTGCATAGGGCGACGTAAAATTCAAATTAGGCAGAAAGAAAACGAGAAACGTCAAGGTGCTTGTAATAATTAATGTATTTACTTTACTTTCCATTTCAACTAATACGTTTTGAGATTTTGAAATCCCACGAAAAATTTAATTTCTTACAAAAAGTTTCACTTCAGTAAGTCAGAAACTTGCTGGGATTTTTTTCACTCTTTATGTTCTCCTGTTTATTTAATTGATTATAGAAATTTCCTCTTATAATACAGACTTAAAGGGGCGGTTCATCAAAGAATGAAAATACTATCGCCTTATGTTGTTCCAACTCATCGTGTATTTCGTTCACGAAAGGAGACATTAGTCAAAATGACAGCTCCAGTCACCATTCATTTTCAATGTATGGAAAAAAGATGCAGCGATATTGAATGGTGACCGCTGTCAGTCATCTTGCTTAACATCTCTTTTTGTGGGTCCACGTTAGAAAGAAAGCCTGTGGAACAGCATTAGGATCAGAAATAACGACAGAACGTTCACTGTGTGGTGAACTATTCCTTTAAAGTACCAATTATCAACTTTTGAAAGAAAAGACAGTTTAGCTTAACAGTGGGCATTGGTATTTCGTTCACGAAAGGAGACATTAGTCAAAATGACAGCTCCAGTCACCATTCATTTTCAATGTATGGAAAAAAGATGCAGCGATATTGAATGGTGACCGCTGTCAGTCATCTTGCTTAACATCTCTTTTTGTGGGTCCACGTTAGAAAGAAAATCTGTGGAACAGCATTAGGATCAGAAATAACGACAGAACGTTCACTGTGTGGTGAACTATTCCTTTAAAGTACCAATGATCAACTTTTGAAAGAAAAAACAGTTTAGCTTAACAGTGGGCATTATTAAGACTGAATGACCAGTCGCTCAAACGGTTTTTAAAATGGACGCCGCTTGTAGGCTATTCGCTGAAGTTCACGCAACTGTTACTGGTTAGGGTAATCCCCTGTACGCAGTGGGAATATCCCACGAACAAGGAAGTTTATGTCCAACAACAGAGGATAACACTTCTTAGAGAGAAATTACGCTTTGACTTGAATTGTTAATTACAAAGATATGTACCCATAGGGTTATTTAGAACTTGGTGTTGAAGCACCTATATGAAGACAGTGGTTAACGCGACGTGTTTACAACCTTATTACTAAAATGTACGTCACAGGGGTCGCCCATATTCGATGACGTCATGCTAAGCAATGACACTTATCATCTGATAGCCTACACTTGGTAAAGAATAGGTATATAAAGGCCCCGGTTTTTCTCCTTGTAATGCAAAGACCACTGTTTTGAAAAAAAAAAAAAAAGAAGACAAAAACCACAGGCACCACTTAGGGGGTTTGTGAATTTTATGTTCTTAATGTAAAGAAGGCAGTTTACATTACATACAAAAATACCCGTTCAAATACAACTTTTGCCCTACAAAAAGAATGACAAGTAGATTTTTTTTTTAAATTGTCCTAAAGGTAACAGGAAGATTCAAACGGAGATGAAACTAATGTCTAGAGGAATAAGAAGTTCAACAATACCTGTGATATAAAAAAATGATAATGGTACAAATAAATAAAATGTTAAGAAACCCCAAAATGAACAGTAAGTTTCTGTTCTCTGTACACCCCAACAGGGTAGGACAGTAGCTTGTGGAAAGAGAGGGGGAGAGAGAGAAAAAAAAAATAAGGGGGGAAATCATGGAAAGAGGGCAGAAATATTATTTAGTCTCGGTTCTTGAAGTTCAGGAGACATTGCCATTCAGACCTCCATGGGAGGCGCAGGGGTGATGCCCTAGACGCAGGGAAATACAATCATGCACATGCACACGCAAAAACCAACACTGACTCTGTTATCATTTAGCAAACAATCGAAAACTCATTGTAAAACCAAACTTGCCTTTAAATTTTGGCCCAACAAATCCAAACCTCTGATCTAATACTGTTCTTTTGTTCTGAGCTGTTAACAAAACTATGGAGTGGCAGCAGCGTTTACTGTGATAGGTAATGGAGTCATGGTTTTTAGTTACTAATGCTGGTCCATCTATACACACACACACACACATACGCACCCCACACAAAAGGTCCTCCCAGAAACTGTACCAGAACCAATACAGTGAATACAAAAAGACTGCAAGGAAAACCTTCGGACAAACAATGAAGAACCTCATTTACAGTGACAAACAGGACAATTTTTTTTAAACTTTTTTTTTTTGTTAATAAAAACTACATTAAGGTGGCATAGAAAGACTAACAATTATTTTTAAAGTTATATACAAACTACATCTACTGTACAATTTGTTTCAAAAGCTCAAATAGATGTTTAAGCAAGCATTCTGACACAGTAAGGCATAAAAAAAAAACTGTGTGTGTGTGGGGGTCAATACTTTACAAGCAGGAACTCTGCAACTCTGTAATAAGCAGGAAGACCAGCCAAATATCAGTAGCAGTTTAAAAGCAGCACTGCTGTTACACAAGTGTGGTTCCACTCTTTAAGGGACAACCTGTGCAGACAGATGTTCAAGAAGAGGGGAAAATAGATTAAAGGGCAAACCCAAGAGTGGCAGCAACAGTAACAATTCATGTTACCTGTAGATAGCTCACTGTTATCGGTTAAGGCTGTTCTCTGTACACCCCAACAGGGTAGGACAGTAGCTTGTGGAAAGAGAGGGGGAGAGAGAGAAAAAAAAAATAAGGGGGGAAATCATGGAAAGAGGGCAGAAATATTATTTAGTCTCGGTTCTTGAAGTTCAGGAGACATTGCCATTCAGACCTCCATGGGAGGCGCAGGGGTGATGCCCTAGACGCAGGGAAATACAATCATGCACATGCACACGCAAAAACCAACACTGACTCTGTTATCATTTAGCAAACAATCGAAAACTCACTGTAAAACCAAACTTGCCTTTAAATTTTGGCCCAACAAATCCAAACCTCTGATCTAATACTGTTCTTTTGTTCTGAGCTGTTAACAAAACTATGGAGTGGCAGCAGCGTTTACTGTGATAGGTAATGGAGTCATGGTTTTTAGTTACTAATGCTGGTCCATCTATACACACACACACACATACGCACCCCACACAAAAGGTCCTCCCAGAAACTGTACCAGAACCAATACAGTGAATACAAAAAGACTGCAAGGAAAACCTTCGGACAAACAATGAAGAACCTCATTTACAGTGACAAACAGGACAATTTTTTTTAAACTTTTTTTTT